ATATACTGAGTACTCAATTCAAGCCTGGAACCCATGGTTGCAGCGAGATCTGAAGGCACTCGAACATCCACAGAGAATAGCTACCAAAATGGTCAAAGGTTTGCATTCCAAGGCCTACGGAGAAAGATTACAGCTCCTGGGGCTATACTCATCCCAATATCGTCGAATCAGAGGCGATATGATTTTACTCTATCGGATTTTCCAACAACCCAACCACCCCTGTAGACCTCTGTTGGTTTTATCGCACAACGTTCATCTCAGAGGGCATCCGCTGAAGTTGGCACATCAAAAGAGCCGTCTCGACTTCAGACGTCACTCGTTTGCAGTCAGAGTGTGCAGCACATGGAACTCTCTACCATCTCACGTTGTCTGTGCCCCAACATTAGTATCATTCAAGCGTCAGCTTGATGATGTCCTGGAAACCGTTACATTTCAACACCCAACTACATAACATTCTCCTGTGCTCGTCAAAACTAATTTACTACTTTACTTTCATGGACTAACTGTGATATTGTGAATCGTCATCCGAACCAAAGTGTAAACACCCTATGGGATTTGTAAAAGCGAAGTCTTTGTAAGTTATATCCCATAATAAAAATTTGAATTTGAATCTAACAAGATGCACGCTGCTTGTCAGATCGAAATAGTCGGTCGACCGCTGGCTATGTCAGTCTGTTATCTTTAATATCCGTGTTCAGTGCACGCACGGAAGAGAGAAATGTTTTGACACCGTGTTTATTCGCGATAACGTTACACGGGATTGTCGACCAGTTTTACTGTGTTCAGACTCACCAGCAGTGCACACATTGTTCCAAGTCTTTTCCGATAATTGAATCGTAAACTTTTGATTATGAAGATCAAACCCAGACCACGCATAGTTAAACGTCTCACCTGATTTGAACCAAACTGAATATCCTTAACTATACACTATCATAACCCGTAATTTATTAGGGTCTCGAGGGAATACAGTCACATTTAGCCGACAAAACGCAAATCAGCTTCGGTCAGATGTAAAAATGAACCTCCTACATGCAAAATTGATCATGACTGTATACTAGGAGAAGAATGTCTGGGGTGAGGTCACGTGTCTTACTGTGCCTTAAATGCAAATCTGGATAACGATCGATTACCTCTCTTTGCAAGTTCATACTACGAGATCAGGTCACTCACAAAGAATGACCCGGCCTCTTCACTCCGTAGTTTACCATCCCAGAAAATGATGCAATCAATAAGTGCTGTTTATAACCGTTGAAAGCCGCAAGAAGCACTATCCTCCGTACAACAACCAAACCCTTCTTCTGTCAAAAATGGAGATCACATTATCAACAGAAGTACCATAAAAATTCCCCGTTTGTCTAGTTATTCTTATTCCAAACTACCCAGTACGACAAATATGCTCCTGTACACGAGTACCGTTGTATATATATATATATATATATATATATATATATGAACTTACTTTTCGATGTCTTTTGGTCAATTCCTCCACACTTCGAGCTTGTTGAGTTGTGAAACGTTGTAAACGTTTTAGCCTATCCATATCCGAACGACACACATCCGGGATGGACGTACTCAACGGTAACTGAAGCATCGGATGCACGATTGTCTCCCGTTCACCCAAATACCCGTCACCGAGTGTATTTTGGCCACGCGGGAATGATACTCCGTGACCGTTGAACGTTGCATTCGGAAACGGGAAAGCAAGATCTGGGTCCACAGTGATAGCCATGGAGTTATGTTCACAAGGTTCGTCGCACGTTACGTCTGCTAGCATGACTGTGTTGGGAATGGAGTGTTGTTGTTTTGCCAGTGGAGACGATTCGATTGGCCACTTGCGGATAACCAACCCCAATTGTTTCTTCCGACTAGTACTCGGTGTCCCTGGGCTGGATTTGGTAATGCGTACGGGGGACGATGTTGTGTTTGTCACGGTGCTAACCGTGCTCTTCGCCGCCGGTCCAGATGTGGTTAACACATTCTGGTCATCATCATCTGTGCAAGAAAGTACACGCATGCCAATAAATGGTGGCCCACCGGGGGCTGAGTCTGTCACACTCAATTTCCTTCCGCCCCAATTCGCTTGCATCGATCCACGCTTGTGACGGGGTAGGTCAGTGAGATCAGTGGTTTCTCGGATTGGGGTGTGACTGGTTGTTGTTGATGTTGGTGATGCTACTGATCAAGGACAACAATCATCCAAGTAGAACAATATACATAAGAAGGGAGAGGGAGAGAGAGAGAGGTAGAATCATATGAGTTTGAATGGGTATCGGGGTTCCTTTCAAGGTGGCAGTTGTGCGGTTTTGTCAAGCCGCGTCTGAGTCTGTGCACGAATAACGCAACCAACCGCTACGAACTTAAGCCTGATTTCAGTCACACCACGATGCGTGAAGGTATGTTCAACCTGTTGTTCACGTGTGTGTGTGTGTGTGTGTGATGTGCGTGCGTGCGTGCGTGCATGTGCGCGCATGGATGAGTGAGTGGCTAGGTGGGTAATCATTGAGGTCACCTGTTTACCCGGCTCGATCTGCTTTAACCCCATGGAGTACAATACAATGGCATACCTAATCGTGTATTATTCCATGTATCTTTAGTGTGTGTGTGTGTGTGTGCGTAAAAGTTATATACGCAAACCCTCGGAGTAGGGTACCATTCGTTGAGACACAAGTTCATGTGTACAGACCTACGCACAAACACACACACACACACTGGTAGAAAACACACAGCTACAGACATACTGTTGCGAACTTGAATACATGAGTGTTTTGAGCATCCTGTGTGCCGATGAGGTATTTATTTTTCGTCGCTCGGAGTTTAGGCATCCATATTGCATAAAAACATATTCCTCAAAGACAGGTAGGTGCATAAGGTGGCAAACTGGAGCCAGGTCCAACAACCAGAGGCGGTAGACAAACCACACAGTTCAAGTTCTTGGATGAATTCCGACTTGTTGGTCATCTACATGCGTGTGTGTGTGCGCGCATTTGCGTGGCACCCACGATCGATCGGAAGTGTATGATCTAAGTTGGAATTGCAACCATAAGACCGGAAGATAGATTGACATTGTTGGTCACTCAATCACTCCCCGACACTGGAAGTCACTGAATGAAGAATAAAAATAAACTAAGTAGCAATTGAAGGAAAAAAAAATCAACAAACAGCCACAGAGAGACAGACAGACAGATACTAGGTCAAATAGATAGACAGAACGCAGTTCTGGTAAGAGTCAAAAGATTGTACTATCATTCATGAAAGCCTCATCGGGATCGCACTTAAACCATGCGTATACACATTCCGATTCTGGTATTACTTATTTTATGTATTATTCATACGTAAACACCTCCCCGCGGAAGCCCCTCCTCCTTGTTGGCAGATCGCTTACCGACGGCACAAACACATGCACGTAGATCTATCCTATTGATCATCACTTAACGAATGGGGATTGTGTAAAATAAACTGCGAGCAACAATTGTGCGCGAAACTCATGTGCGTCAATCAGACAGACCAAAGGCACTACTGGGATCACGTGATTCTCACGAGAGGAATCACAGCGATACGCACGTGACTCATGCTGCAAGGTGAAGCAGCCGTACAAATGGCATGAGATTTTAATGAACGAGTAGTAATAGTAGTGGTAATGGGAGGCGGACACAACATTCACTCTGGTTTAGCCTGCTTAACAAATTATATTTTGAATTCATCCGTGATAAAACGGATCTCTTCAACACTCAAATAGCCTCGCCACACTCCTCGAGAGCAACAGGGTTAGCAACCGCAGAGGTGATTTGATATCCGACTCACGAAGCTTGAGCTCGAGCTCTCAAACTTCCTTGTCAAAGGGAAGAGAAAATCGCTTGTCCTCACGACCATGACGTGACATAGCAACTTTGGTTACGTGATTCAAACAGCACACAAATCGGAACTTTTCTCAGGCTCACTACCGAACACATGACTTATCCACCTTTCTGTCAGACCCTTGTGAAGTTTTCTCGCCTAAATGTGATTGCAAAGGCTTGAAAAGAAACTTACCGAAAAATCCTGTTCGACTACATGGTTTTCTTAATCAATGGGTATATTTCGTGATTTCAAATAGTTTAAGTTGTTTGAAAGCTAAGATAATGTGCACAGATTGCTTCGGGTCCTTTAGAAATGGTACATTACATCACCACAGATGGTGAGTGCAGGCACAGGCTCCTGCCAGTCTTGAACAAGCACTTTCCACTTTGATGGTGCCAAGCACATACCATACCTAGATACCTCGATTGCCAAGTGGTTCAAAGTGTTTTGGACTGCCTTTGTGTGTTGTCATCCAGTAAGGCGACGTCATCGACATATTCCAAGTCAAGAACTCTGTTCCGTGGGAGGGGTTCGAGGCCACCGTTTGCTAGACCGGACAAAGCGTTCTGTAGAACATCTTCTATGACAAAGTTGAAAGGGAATGAGAATATAGGGCAACCTTATAGAACTCCACTGGAGACGGCGAAGGTCAGCGAAAGTTGGCCATAAGCCCTAACCCGACCTGAGGTATGATGATAGAACTCTTTGAGGATCGACACATACTTCTCAGGTACTCCATTCCTCAACAAACAGTTCCATATCGACAGAGTCGAAGGCCGCGCGAACGTCTAAGAATACAATGACCGTTGGTCTTTGGTGGGCATGACGGTGCTCTAGCAGCTGTTGGAGGGTGAAGATTTGATCGATGCATCCACGATCAGCGCGAAACCCAGGCTGCTCCTCACGGGTCTGCTCTTCACGCATGGTGTACAATCGGCGGAGAATGAC